GAAGAAAATGTCTAATGGTTCAATTCCCAACTCTGTCACTGAACCACTCTGGGACTTGGGGAAAAGTCAGTTCGCCCATCTGTAAAATGGGATTTATAATGCGTTGCTTCTCAGGGGTATTGAAGGAGTATGAGTAGCATTGATGGAATGCTTCATGCACCTTGGATAGAAGGGGCAATAGCCCTGTGAAGTGCTGTCCTTAATAGATACTTAGAGGAGTTTCCTTCACTGTGGTACTTATCTGACCACAGCAGCCGAGTGCCTCACAGCTACTGATGGATTTTTTCTTTCTATTACCTCTTTGAGTTGTAGGATTGTTGCACAGGAAAGCAAGGCAAATGGCAAAGTGAATGAAATGGACCCAGTCACATAGAGAATATGTGGTAAAGTCAGGACTAATCCTTTATTTCCTAAATTTCTGCTGCATCTGCCAGACTTTTCTCCTAGTCATGAATTTTGTGATCTGAAGGCATAAGGGAAAGTCACCTTCCCTTCTTCCTACATTGGTCAGTCACACTGTGGCTGTCTTCCTACTGTACAAGGAGCAAGTGGTCTGAAACAGGAGTCAATGTTTGTTACGCATTAGGCTATTGCCTATCATAACAATTTTGGGTTTGTTTGTTTCACCCCATAGAGTAGTTTTCAGCCAAGCATTTGGTCAGATGTTAATCCAGTTATCTATAGTGAATGCTCTGACTTTAACAGGATAATGTCAGGAAAAAGTTTAACCTGTTGTTCCTTCAGGACCAATTTACTGAAGTGATAAAGAGCTATACATACAGGTGGTATCAGAGAAAACTGCTGGTAATTGGTGTTTCCAAAAAATAGCTTCCCAAAGCCCTGCCAGTTGTATCAGCTCAAGTTGAACTTCTGTCAGTGAGCCTTTAAAAAAACCTAGGCAGAACCTGATAGCAACAATGTCAATTAACAAGATGGAAAAACCTGGAGTGGGGATAAGAGGAACAGCCAAGGATAAATAACAATCAGGTTCTCAATACTCACGTACTTCAAAAGAAAAAACATGACATATGTTTATATTTATTTCTTTGTGTTATCTATCAAGACATTTACCAGCCAAAGAGAAATGGAGGCACATGGATTGAGTAAAAAAACCTGTAGCGTGCTTACACAAATCCAGCCAACTCTGAGAGAAAAATCTGTTACCACCAAACAAAGTACCTGCTAAACCCTCTAAAAGACACTTCAGCCTCAGGATGGTCGGTCCAAAAGGTTTATACTAATCCAATCAAAGCTTATAATTTACCCAAGTTTTTTTGTCCTTAAGGTATTCCACCTGCTCCCAGGAAAATAGGCAGCCCGTTGTTCCAGCCCATGCCCAAACCCCATCCTGCTCAACCCAGCTCTTCATGAAGGAAAAAGTCATATAGGCTCTTCTCAAGCATATTCTAAAGAAATATATTGTACAGGACGGCTTATAATATATACTCACTTCAGATTCACTCCAGAGGGACAACATACTCCAGCCCAATTCCATCCAGTCACACAGACTCCAGGATATTAAATTAACCCTCTGCCAAATTTACTGCAAGCCATCTGACCATACCATTTAGGCACAGTAAGACAAAATCTATACCTAGCTACAGTCAGGAAAGCAGGCAACTCTGTTGAAAACCTATTTATATCACTCAAGGAGATCAATGGAGAGCCCAGGCCTAGAGGCCAGTGACCTTGGATTGACACAAAACTTAAAGGAAAAAATTAATGGTGTCAACTCAAGAGACCACAGCTCTTATTTCAGAGGATTCAAACGCCAGCCCTACAGCTTACTGATCAAGAAAAGGTGCATAAGTGGGAATGCATTTTTTGGAAATAGAGAAAAACAACTCACCTGTTGCTGGTGCAGGAGCTGAGGCACAGAGCTGCTTCCTCAGGAGACCCCAACAGTGCCACACAGGCAGGTCCATGGCAGCAGCCAAACCTCCCCAAGCGTGTCTCAGATGTCACCAGCAGCTGTGGTACGCCACCAGCAGCGGTGTTTCTGTGAGAAGCCTCTCCTCAGGCTGTCCCAATGTGACACTGTGCTGAGCCTTCCACAGGCTTTTCTCCAGCAGGTGCTTCCTCAGGGCCTCCCGTCCAAGGAGAGGCAGAGACCTGTGAGGAAGCAGCACAGGGCAGGGCAAGACACCCGTTGTCTGAAGGACCTGGAGGCCACGCACACGCATAAGATGAGTTTTCAGGCCTAGGATTTCTCAGTTCTGCCTTAGCGCTTCTGTAACTGCCCCAGCCCAGAGCAGCAACAATCCCCGAGGAGCCCCTCAGAGGGCTCTGACAGTCACAAAATGGCCACCGGGGTGAATCGGCGCCCCAGTCCGGATTTACTGAGGCACCAGCATGGCCCCACATGGATGACAAGGTCAGGCGCTACTGCGGGTGGATAACGAGGCAGGACTCCCATAGCAGGTGACCAACACCTGCTTGTGCTGTGGCACTGGCAGCTGCCGGCTGGACTGGCAAAAATGGAAGGAAACGGTGGCTGCCCAGAGGCCGCCTGCACAGGCACCTCAGCCTCACACAGACACAGGCCCCGAGGTAGCACAGACACAACGCTAGCTGCTGAAATCCATCCCTCTGCGGTAAACTCCAGTCGGACTGAGGCAACGCTGCCAGGAAAGGCTTTTGAAGGTAGAAGAAAAGCCCCCACCCTGTCACAGCTGGCCCCAATTTAGAGAGGACAACTGGAAACAGGACCTGCCCCACCTGGCATGACTGTCTGGTAAGACCTGGAGGAAGAGAACAGATTTCTAAATGTGTTTTATTGTTTATTTTTCAGTTAAAATCCAAAAACAAGGTTCTGGAAACAGCAGGTTACAGGGACAATGATGTTTAATGGCAGTTATGCAGAGACAGATTTTCTTTTTGGAGTAGCTGGTGCAGTGCTGGATGGACATGGTGTGCCACTGCTGCCTTTAACACCTCTTACTTCACTTTAACTTAACTATTTTTAGGCAAGAACATCTTTTTGGGTGTGCAGGTCTGTGCACAGCAGGGCTGTGCTCTCTAATGTGGCCATGTGGGCTATTGGGATGCAAGTTATAGCAATGCTGGCCATGCACTGATCTTTAATTAGCTCAGGGAATTTTGGTTTTTTAAATTACTATTATTTTTATAAATTTTTGCACTGGGTAAGAGAACCAGGAGGCTGATCCCCAGCTTGGGACCAGTAGCTCCCATTCGATGTCCAACACCAACCCAGCCAGCTCTCACAGCAGAGCTGGCTGCCACATTGTGGCCTGCTCCCCCAAACGTCACATCTGGCTGATGTAAAACACACATGTTTTGACTGAAGCTTTTTCTTTAAAATGCCAACATTAAAGGAAGGTTTGCTTTGTAAAACTGAAACTGTAAAACTCTTCTGAAACCCAATCTGGGGGATTAAAAGAACCACATGAAAAGGGATAAATATGACCTGGACATTTACTTCCTGTGCAGAAGTTCGCTGAACATGTGCCTCCCAGCCTATCAGTGCGAAACAAGACCTTCTGCTCATATTTTCAGAAGGAAAAAAAAAAAAAAAAAAAAAGGAGAAGAGAGGAAGACAGGAAATTTTGTAAACTGACAACTCTTTTCTATCTCATGGCTAATGTCAGAGACATTGGCTTCTTTATAGTGTCATCTCATAGACCTTAAAACCAGAAAGATACATAACTAGTAATAAGAAATTTAGTATTAATAGGCAAATTATTCTTATTCATACGATATTGTAAAGTTGGGCTTGATCCATTTTTCAGTGGGAATCAGTGGCAGAACTCCTTTGGATTTCAGTGGGAATAAGATCAGACCTAAAGATACAATGGACCAAGTCCAAGGATTCTCTGATGATGTACAGAAGAGACACATGGATAGATAAACAGATCTTCAGTTAGTCAGAAAATGGCTCACTTTCAAACAAACTAATGCAAGATGCTTATATCAGTATTGCCTATCTCGTGTATTAAAACTCATAATTGGGTTCCAAAAACCAACTTTACTTAAATATTATGAGACTTGAAAGGAAAAAAAAAATCAGTTGTGGATTCTTTGTTTCTTAGGTTTTGAATCTTTAAGAAGATATAACATTTCTTCTAGTTTTCTTTACTAATAGTGAACTGGTAGAAGCTTGATTTTTTTTTCTTTTTAAACCAAATCTGACATTGTAATTTATTATAGTATGATTTCAGAAGATGACACTTAGGGAAAAAAAATATATAAGAGCAGGCAATACATTAAAGTCACTATTGTTCTCAAAATAACTTTCTGATCTCAGGTCCCAATACACATATTGCAGAGGACAAAATGCAATATAATGTAAAATCTGGCATTGCCATTCTGTTCTGGCAAAAACCAAGTCCCTTTATCCTAGTCAGGTTCCCTAGAAGCCAGTTACATACTAATTTGGGATTATATTCCTCCCCCCATGGATGATGCTGTTAAATTACGTTGAAAGTGACAGTTGGCCAACAGTCATAATTTGGAGAAATACAACTGAAATATATAGGGAGCACAGCACTGAATCTAAAGGCAGACTTCCAACAGAAAATGTTGGATTCTGCACATGAAATGTTGTGGGGCACCTTCTTGAACCACTGGCTTGTAACTGCTGCAATAGCTGACCCTGTGGATGCACACAGATCCAGCTCGAATCTGAGTTTGAATTTCTCTGCAGTTTGCGGTGATTGAATATGGAGTTTTTCAGTTCAGTCCCACTGTTGTTTGAGGGATTTGGTGGGTTTTTGATGGGTTTTGTTTGTTTCTTTTTTTAGAGTTACTAAGTCTGGATTGCTGTTGGTATACATGCATGATGCTCCATGTCCCCTGTGTGAGATATAGACACCCAATAACTGCACACCATAGTACATTTTTTTCTAAATACTCTCTCATCTTAACTAGGTTTGGAAAGTTCATCTATTCTACTTGTGACTTTGGTTTTTCTAATTCCCATTAAAGACTTTCACAACCTCTGCTATTGTATAGAGCTGGTAAAAAAATATCTTTCTGTCTAGTCCTGGCCAAATTAAAAAAAAAAAAACCAAAAAAACAAACCAAAACCCAAACACTTTTATAGTTTCAAGCCAGAATCAAGAAAAGAAAAAGTGCATTTTGAAGTCATTGTTCAATGGAGAAAGACCAGTTCCCAAGGCCTTTCCAAATCAAAAGTGGACAGTTCCTCAGTCATTTCCAAGCCGGAAAGAGGCCATTTTATGAGCCAGAAAGCATCCATTTTCTGCGTCAGTCCTGAGCCAGAGAGGCTAGTGTCTGAGTCAGTTCCAGGGGGGGAATGTCTGGCACTTTTCCAAGCTTGGGAGTGTTGCTATCACAGCAATTGTTTGGTGATGCCATCCCAATAAAGCTTCATTATGGTGTTCCTCTTTCTATAAACTTCAGTGCCCTCCAGTGTCCCCAGCAATCACTTATCTAATATTAGGATATTAAAAAATATGGAAAGATTTTAAAGAGACTTATTAAAATGCAATTAGCAGCGTGTACGACTTAAGCAGTGAGATTATTTAAAAAAACGACTTGATTGTGTGGAATGCCACGCACCTTACAGAGATAATAAAGCTGCCAATCAAGTCCATTTTCAAATTAGGAAATTTTCATTCTTTTTTTACAGCCCCCTAAGTGAATATTAAAACTGATTATTAACCTCAGAGTGTAGCAGCGGCCCCTAAGCCTGCAAGCTCTGAAAGGGAGATTTCATAACTGTTGGTAGCCTGGGCTTCATTCCCCATTTGGACTGAGATCTCTGTGCTTATTTAAAGGGACAGTGCTCACCCTTTGACTAAGGAAATCTGAAAAGCCTGGATGGGTCCCTTGTTTAGAAAGGGGCAAAGCTCCAGATCGTGCCATTGCAACTTGGGACACCAAACCAAACTGCCTGTAAGGACCCTGCCTCGGTATTACACAGCAGAGTTTTGCCATCAATAAACTGCAGGTAAGACTGCCCCCTCATGTCCAATGTGTGAATCTCACCAAATATTTAAACTCTGGCACACAGCCTTCGTTTTGTCCAAGTAAAAACATGCAGATTAAATGAATGTTTACGTGGGAACACATACCTTTGTCATACTCAGGCTGCTGTGCATAGATTCTCAGTGTATGTTGTTATTTTCAGTTTATGTTATTACTTCCCTTGCTAAATGTAAAACCGTTATCATTTACCTTGCCTTCTTTTGATTTATTTTTTGTCCTACTGTGAGAAAATCAAGGGTGACATTTCCTGCTATTTGACTTTGCTGGCATTTTAATTTCATTTATAAAAAGGATCTTTCTCTGAGAAATTAAGTCACATTACCCTGACAGGTTACTCCTTTTGCAGCTCTTTACTCTGCTGCCAAAGTGGATTTATTGATGCTTCCTGGATTTCTCTCCTCAAGCTTGCAAACTGGAAATGATGAATTCTCCAGAAGGCAGCAAGCTAATTCTTCACTTGAATGCTTTATTTTGGGATAAACGCAAAGATTCAAAGGGAGTTGCTTAGTAGGGTTGGAGTCAGTTGATTCTGACTCCAAAGCAAGACTATATTTTAGCATGTGCTTAACTTTTAAGTATATGATTAAATTTATCTTTGCTTATCTCTTTGGGACCACAACCAGGCCTGAAGGTATGTAGTTGGGCACTTTACCATATTGGTGCCAGGCTGCTTTGCAGGAATGGGAGTCCAGACAATATCTAAACAGGGAAAATGTTTCGAAGCATTTAGAATAGAAGTTATTTTACCAGCACGTGTATCTCTCATGGCTATAGCTCCCTCTGGAATCTAGCTATGGCACCTGGATCTACTTAGGATTCGCATGGAAGCTATCTACACATCTTTTCAAAGTAAATAATCTGCCTGGGTTGGATAATGGGGGTTAGGAGGATGACAAATTGGGTTAATAAAATGTCAGCAAGAGCCAGGTTTTAAGTCTGGAATGAGTCACAAGTGAAACAAGTTTAGTGGCCAGGGTTCACCCTTGATCTTGAATTGGTATTTGTCTACATCACTGAATAACCACAAGTGATCCAGCATAATTCAGCATAACTGACAATCCAGCGTCGGCAATATTCTTGGGGTGGAGGAGGGGTAAAGATGTTAATGCCTCTTCAGAGTCATGCCACAGTTAATGAGAGGCGCTGAAGAAACAGCAGCCACAGAGATGGCATTAGACTTCCCAGGGCTCTGGGCTGAAAAGAAGCACCTCCAGCACACCAAACATCTTGTGTTGCTAGTACAGCTGGCAACGTACCTCTCTTCTACTCCCCAGGCTGGAGCAAGTATATTCATGGCTCACCCATTAAGCTAGTCTGGGTGGGGAATGTATGGAGTAGTTTAGTACGTTCATCAGGATGGACTGAATATGGGTGATATTTCAGGAGTCTGAAGGCTAGAATGGAAAGCCATGCAGTCAGTCGGTACTGAGGTACACCACTGGAGACAGATGGAGACTCAGGGAGGTGTACTGCAGGTGGATTAATCGAATTGCTTGTAAGAGCTCTGAAAATAACTGCTGGTTGTTGGGGTTTTTGTTGTTTTGTTTTTGGTTTTTTTTCTATAAACAACTAGTCACTGCTAAAGAAAGGTCATGATGATTGGAACCACACTGGCAATGACAAAGAGAATTAAGGAGATGGAATGGACATGTAATCTTTGGATTCGTGAGATACTGAGTGTATGGTAATGCCCCCACAGCAAGTAACTCAGTTATTAACATATGCTAAAATTAGATCAAGCAAAACCAGCACTCACAAATACTGAAACAATTCCTGGCAGAGAAGAGAGATTACTGAAAAGGTCTGAGTAAGTGCTATGAATGGGTGATTGCCAGGCTGGAAAGCAAACTTCCAGAAGCATGAAGACTTTGTCCCAGAAGCTGCCTTGCATTCCTTGATTAGGATCAGCATCAAGAAAAGCCTCACCGTGGGTGCTGGCAGAGCCAGACATGAAAAGAACAAGCTCTACCTAATGCCAAATCTTCCAGCTGCAGCTTTGACAGTAAGAATTACCCTGCAAGTCTGTACTCCAGAAATTCACAGCACAGAGTTACACAAATGGTAAAGCAGCAGGAAGTCTGATATCCAGCAATTCAAATATATTAGACTAACCAACTGAAAAAAATAACCTTGCATTATTTGTAGCAGCTTATTGAGCAAGGCAAGTTTTGATCCAAATATTCCTGAACACTGAAGAAGTAAATAACTAGATGACACAGAGTTTGCATCTATGTTCTTCTCCACTCCTAAAATTAGACATGGAACATCTGAAATAGAAATCTGGATTTTGCTTTATTATTGGAAAAGGGGATAGAGAAGAATACCTGAAATACCACTTCACTTGAAAAGAGCAGTTCCAGAATCTGGGATCTTGCCACCCCCTCTGAGCTTTCCTAACCCAAGCTGTGTTGCAGAATCCCTGCCCTAGCTGCATCTCAGCAGTCCCCTCCAGGTGTCAGCCTTGCACTTCGCAGGAGATTTTCTTCCCTCAGCCAGGTCTGGAGTGAAGTTCTGGGTGCAGTGGAGATTCCTGAGAAGAGATCGTCAGAGGTCTTAAAAAATATTAAATGCATTCCCTATTTCATTTCAGGAAAAACGCTGAAATATCACAGCCCCACCAGGTCTCCTTCAAAATTTTAAAACTGATGCCACTGTGTAAGGGATCTAAATGGGCCCATTAACTTTCTACAGTATCTGCCAAGAGAACTGTGAACATCTGCCAGCCCAGAAACCATTCAGGAGCCAGGACTTTCACTTAAGTTTTCTTTTTTTAGGGTGTAATTGACATGACTGTCCTTTCTTTGGCCTTAATTCCTAACTACTTCCCAAGAATACTAAAAGCTTCTGCTCTCCTCTGCACTTTTGCACATAAATCAGAACTACACCAAGATTTTCTCAACTGGATCTCATCGTGTTAGAGCCACTGGAAGCTGGAATGAAGATGAGCGCATGCAGGCCCACCACATCATCTAACCTTGCTCTGATTTCAGGGTTAAGATTGTTGGCAGTGCTGTTGTTTGGTTTAGGACTAGCACTGTGGGAAAGACAGCAAATAGAGATAAATGGGCATTGTCAGACACACTTACAGCTATAGGATTGGACAGATAGCCTGGATGTCAGAAGTAAGATTCCCCTTAGGATGTTGCTGTAGTTTATGGTAGTGCTCAGAATTGCTACAAATCTTTAGGCAGGTCAACTTTGAGATGTGTTCTTAAAACTACATGCATGAGCAATAATGCATGAAATCGTGAAAACAGTGAAATCTTTTGACAGAATAGAAAGGCAGTTGTGTCAAGACTGAGATACATGGTGTAGGTGGGGGAAGTCTGCAAAAATACAGTGTCTGGTTCAAACTTACCTGTCTTTCAATTTTATGAGTAGAAATTGGCGTCTCAGTGGATTCTGTTGACTAGTAGGTTTTGAGATGACATCCATGGATGAGAAACTGGGCTGAGTTCAGGTGATTAATTCTCGTGGTGTAGGCTATTGAAGAGCTATTGGGTAGCAACAATTTTCAGTAACTACTGATCTGGGAAGGCTTCAAATATAGGCTATTGATGGGTCAAAGGCCTGTATCCCATTAACTGTCATAAGACAATCAGCCAACATGATAATGAATGAAGTTTTCCCCAAGGTCTTCCAAAAAGTCTGTTTCAAGATTTTTATATCTGTTAGGAGAAAGTCTGTCATGAAAGCACAATTCTGGGTGTCAGGTGTCACCAGTTTTTCACGACAGACTTTCAGAATAACCTTGGGGAACCTGGCTTACCTCAATAGCTCAGTTTTCCAAATGGTTGCCTACAACATTAACTGCCCAGAGTTGGATTAATTGCAATATAGCGTAAGGACACTAAAAAGACATAAAAAAATTCAGAAAGAGAAGGATAGAAGTCTATCACCTCTGGCAGTTTCAACTGCACAAAAAGTCCATTTGGTCACATCTGGATGATCAGTAGCTCTCGCCACTCTCATCAAGAATGACTTTCTGTTCTACGAGCATTAGTTCTCCCCTTTTCATGGCTGTCAACTATTTCTCACGTAAAGGTCTTGCTCCTCTTTCAAAATTACCTGTATTAAGGCAAATTATGTGTTCTCTTCCTTTCCTTGTTGAAAGTCATTTACATGAAGAATCACAGAACTGAGATTATGGATACTGGGGGAGGGAATGCAGAAGTATAGCTAAGACTGGAAACTTGGGTGGGCCTCAATTTATGGTGGACAGCCAAAGAACAAATGTCTGATGTCACAGTAAATCATTTATATTGCAAATGATTTAAAATAATGAAAACCCATATGCATTAAATTTTGCCCTGTACATCTATTTGACATATTTTAAGTAGACAAAAGATAGATTTTACATAAATCTTCAGTAAATGTACTTCAGAAAAATATCACCAGGCAGTAAAACTTACCCATTTTAAAAAGTCTTTGTCTTATACTTTGAGCTCCTGCTTCAGTGTGCATCATTCAAAACCGGCAAAAAAACTACCTCAGACTGTCTGCCCACTCCTTGAAATAAAAGAAAAAAAACAAAGAAGGAAAATTAGACAAAACAGCTTTTGAACAGACCCTGCCAGAGTTGTCCTTCACACTATTCCAGGTCTTACAGGAATAGTTGCGACATCTTACTCAAGCCACCTGTGGCTTTGTCTTTGAAGGAGTCTATTTCCAACCTCCAGTGTAAATACTCATGTTTGTATCCAGTATTCAGGATCTGTCACACACCAACATTTGCAATTGTATAGACTTGAAGCTAGCTCTCCAGCACAGTTCCCAGTCTGTGGATTTTGTCCTTTGGTTTATGATAATCTGTGCTGACAGAAGTTCATGCTCTTCTATGCTGGGAGTTACTACACAATCTAGCAAAAACAAGTCTCTGAATCCTAGCTCCAGTATGCTGTAAGAGGCAACAAACTCCTTTGGAAGATGCCTGGCACATCTTCACCAGGAACTCAGCTCTGGGAACTGACTCCATACCTCTGAGAATCACAGGCAGAAATTCTTCCCAGGCTCTGCTGTGGATGGTCCAGAAAGACAAGGGAGGTGACTTGCAGATGGTTTGATGTGACTCTGCCAAACAAAACAAAATTAAGTTAATTTTGCATTCTCTGTGTACAAGATGCAAACATTTGACAGTTCCCACAGGTACCAATCACACAAGAGGGTAGAGATGTCAGATCCTACATGCTGTTTGTTGTGCTTTGAACCCTGGTTCACAGCTCAGAAACAAAGGTAGCAGTCAGCACCCAACTGCCAGCAGTAGCCATGGAGCTCAGAGGGGCCTTTTGTCACCAGTGTTGGGTTCCCAATGAGTCCGTAACATTTTTAGTTCCTAACAGATCTCCTACCCAGGCCGATCCTTCTGTATGATGGGGCTGGGTTTGCTGAGTAGCAGCCAGGACACCAACACACCTGGATGGCTGACCCCAGCTGTTTCAAAGACATGCTATCTAATCAGCCTCACTCTCAGAGAAGTTAATTTACCCCTTCTGATTGTTTCTTGTCCCACTAACACTCAACATCTGTCTGGTGGTAAAACAAGTAGCAGCAGCAACTTTGTAGCGTGTTGGTTAGGGAAATATGGCCAAAGATTTTTTTTTTTCAAAAATGGGCACTGAGTCCTTCCAGTTCTTTACAAGAGCCAAGCATTTAAAAAATCTGACTCTGTGTTTGCTGAGAGATTAAAAAACACATCACCCATTCTAATCAGTTTTGGAAGAGTTAAGTAAATAAGGACATGAACCAAAAGGAATGCGGAAACTCTGCCCCTTTAAAAAACAGGACTGAACCATCTCAGGTGGATTAAAAATTAGTTAATTGAAATCATGGCTTTATAGGATCATGGGAAAATTGCATGAAATATTTCAGGCACTATAATGAAGTCTTAGATGCTGTTTCAACTAAGGGGATTGGGAGGAGTGTTACTGTGAGAACCATGGACTAAGTGATCTGTCCAGGTATTTTATGTGGGTAGAAGCTGCTTATTTTGTTTAAGGAAAGCCTTTCCCTAGTAGCTGTTTCTAGACTACTAGGTATTAGTAAATTTTAATGTTAATAACTTGCTTGTGTATGGAAAGCTCTATTTATAGTAGGTATTTCTGTGAAGAGGAAGAAGTAATTATTGTCAATGTCCCTGTGGTTGTGGTGAAAGCCCCTTCAAAGAAAAAGGGAAAAAAAAAAGTATTGTAAAACACTACTGTTATTGTGTGTGAAGGGATTTTCAATTGTAGCTAGGAAAAAAAAAGAAATAGTACTGATCTTGTTTCTTCAAGGGAACAGCATGTCCTTTTCTGTGATATATCATCTGTTTAAATAAGGGCTCAAATGGCTTTAAATTACAAAGAGAATTAAATAAGCTGCTCCTTCAGGCAACTGCATTCAAGGTGGGCTTTATTTGATGGCAGAAAAGATTGTGCTTGGGTATGAAAGAGTAGGGTAAGGCTGTTCAAAAGGATGCAAACTACTTAAAGAGCACAGTCCCAAGGACACAGTGATAACACTTCCTGCAGAAAACACTTGTTTCATGTCCAGAGAGGGGAAACTGTTCATCCCCCCTACACACAGAATAAAGCAGGAAAAAAAGACTTCAACTGAGTAAGCGTGAGAGGTAGGATTTATTCACTGTTGGAAAAATCAGGCCAGATTCTGACTACACTGATATGCCATCGTTCATTAAATCCCCCTGCTTCTTACTGCTCTATGATTAGAAATAGGCCCAAACACTCTGTTTTTCAGTACCCACAGTTGTGTGGTGTTTTTTTTTTACCATGAGGTTATATTTAGATGCCCATTGATGCTGGTTTTTCATCCCAAGTGCTTTTGGGAGGGTGAACAGCTGATTGTTACACTGAGTTTGCTTGTACCCATGAGCACACTTAACCTAGAGCAGCAAATAGTTATTGTATTGCATTTTGGTTTGTGCCTGTGGGCACACTTAAGTCAATATACATGATGGCTAGTAACGTGGTATTGCATTTGTCTGCACCCATGGGCACTCCAAATTGCCAGTGTGAGGGAACTGGTGAATTAACTGGCTGTATGCTCACTGGTGTAGTTGCTTCAAGAGCAATAGTGCTGTTAATTGCTTAACTTGAATCTAATCATAATGCAAAATAACAGAAGGAAAGTGCTGCAAGAATCCCAGTTCTTACAGAAAATGGATAGTAACATTTGTTTAATTCTTTGTTTGTTGCCAAAACTGATAGGAATGAGCTCTTGGGGCAGAAGTCTCTGTTGTGAATAATTGCCCTTCTTTCCCTGTCTGTTTTACAGCCAGCAAGCTGCATCCAGCTCATTGCTCTCTCCAAGCTTTTACCTGCACAAAATCTCATTCAGGGTTGATGCTTACTCTGCTCGTTAGTGAAATTACCACCAGATGCTTTGTTAGATAGAGGTCACTCTGGCTGAATGCCATGACAACCTCTTCAAATAGCGTGATTGCTAAACTATAGCTTTGACTTGAAATGGTGCAGTAGGTAATGTTGACATGCTGCAATTACTGCTCAGTCCTCCCAGCGTGTTCAAACAACGCTGACTACCTCAGTGCTGACTTGGCAACACTAGAACTGGATTTGGGATGTCTATTGTGGATGACTAGAAAATGTAGGAATTTCAGGAGAACGCCTACATGGCACATTAGCTTATCTCATTACCCTGTGTCTAGTCAGATCCTCTCAGAACTCTGTTGAAAAATGGTAATTAAATGATAAGGCTGAGTCTAAAGCTACATGGGCATAGATGGGCTAGGTTTCAGTGGTGCTGGGAGCCAGTTTTTACAACTGAAGGAATCTTAAGTGGGAGTCTTAAACACTCAGTAGAAGACACTAAATAGATGGGACTGGATTAGCCTTTCCTAGCAGTAGGGTCATCTTTCCTTACTAATAAGACTTACTTCTTTTGAGGAGACTGGTTCAAGGAAGGTCAAGGTAGATAGGCAATGAGAACATGGCCCACATGTGGACTGAGTACCACAAAGTAACAGATTAGGAGAAAGGAGGGGGAAGAAGGTAGCAGAATTATTTTCCTTTATAACAGCATGATGCAGTCCATTGGTTAAATCACAGAGCTGAGCGGGTTAGAGGAAGCTCTGCAGTGCACTTCTTTTCTCTGGGAGGATGGCAGGCAGAACTTTACAGCTCTGCTAATGACAACCCTATGTGGCTTCCTGTTCATATATATCTTGTAATGAAAAGTGATTGTGTTACAGATGTCTCTGGTGCGACTTGCAACTAATGTGACTGTGATTGATGGACCAGATAAGCTTGTTATTAAAGTATCAGAATAAAGTAACTTGGAGATGTGGAATGGCAATTATCCAAATGATTGATTGAAACTGTAGAATGGTTACTAATTTATAGCTTACAGTATTATCACTACAAAGTAAAACAAAACTGGAGTGTTTATCTAGAGGGTTATGCTACTGAAAGCAGATTATTAACTTTATAAAAGGAACCAGACCAGGTGGAAAATACCATGTTCTTGCCACTGTTTTTCTCCTCCGCATCATTCTTTTGCACGCAGGCTTGTGTAAACTACGTGAGCAGAGAAGCCTTGGCACAGTAGCCTAGCTAGCAGTCCTTTCTGTGACTGCAGGTTAGGAAAACATATGTAGACAGGTTCTTCTGCACTTTTTTTTTTTTTAAGAGTCAGAAAAGTGGCAGCAAGAACATAAGTGTGCCTTAGCCATAGTGGCTTTGGAGTTGAGTAGTTTATAATACTGTATAATGACATATAACAATTAAGTCTTTCCATTAAGTAAAAGGAGATTTGGTCTAGAGAGGATTAAACCATAGTATAGCAAACTCTTACTAAGTATTAAAGGACAGGGCTAGAACTACTAGGGTGGTTTTGTAACTTTTAGCAGTCCTAGAAAATTGTTTCATACATGGTCAGAGCCAGGCAGTTGAATGGGGGAGAAGCAAAAGAGCCCTCCAAACATCTGGAAGAATTAATGAAGACATCAGTTCTGAGGGATGAACCAGTTGTTGGGGCAGAGGGGGAGGGTGTCAGGCTAAGACACTAAATATGATACACAGAACTGAGCTGCCATGAAACCGTCTGCATTAGTCAGCCTGGTTAATCTAGTTCTTCCCCAGATCCTCAGGGAATGCCTGCAGGAGATCGTGCATGTCGGATCAGCCCTTCCTACCAAGCAGAATGATGCTATTCAAGTGGCAATATGCCCCAGCTGGTATCGCTCATTCATGTGTTTTTGGCAAGAGGGTGTGCCTCCTGCACAAACGTTTCAGATAACCTTAAACCCGGGCACTTCCCAGCTGTTGTTCAGATACTGCAGCTGCTCAGCATCTCTCACGTTATCATCATGTTCTGTGAAAAAAAAAAAAAAATGCTCATGGTGTCTCCTCCTGCCCAACTGAAGGGGCTCTCGGTACAGCCAAGATCATTCACGGCAGACTTCTCTCGTGGGAGACCGCTCCACTTCCCTGAATAAGCTGCTTCCCTGGGCAGGACTTGCTTGAAAGAGCGTGGGGGTTTTGGTGGGTTTTTTGGCTACAAATTAAGAGCGCTCGTTTCTGTCTGGCCGTGCAGATGAGAGGGAGCGCAGCCCTTTGCTAAGGCAGTTTCTGCACACCGGGAAGTCTCCGTTTCCCGCACGCTCCTTTTTCTCTCCGGATCCTCTCTCAGACCCGGAGGGCGCTGGGCTCCGCAGGCGCGGCCGCTCTTCGCACAAAGCTCCGCGTCCTCTCGCCGGGGAGAGCGGGACCTGCCCGGCCTCCGCGGGAGCCGCCGGTACGGCCGTGCCGTCCCTAACAAACTACGGCGTTTACCTGGAGCGACGGCCGCTACCGGGAAGGCGGGTCGCCGGCCGCCC